CCTCCAGAGACGAACTTTTCAGCTTGAACTTGTCGGCTTCTACATGCTTGTGAGCCATTTATCTAAGATAAATTTCTCTCTCTCTCTCTTTCTCTCTCTATAAATATATATATATATATGTACTTTGCTGGTTTTTGTGTTTCTCTAGAGAACCCAATCCAACACACATAGTAAAAAGAAAACTTCAAAATTTTATTCATTTTTATCTCTGGTTGTAAGCACTTGGTAGTATGTACATGGAGTACATACTACATCTAAAGCAAAGAACCTTTGGTTACAAAGATAAATATCATTTTATCAATTTATTCGTAAAGGAAGATTTCTGTATATACTTTAAATCCATAAATTGCTCCATTGTTAGTGTAAGCTACAATTTTTCTACTAAAGGCTGTGCAACAGCTAATTTAATACAGGCACAGGTTGATTATATCTATTCATCAGGGAAATAAAAACTGTTATGATTCAGGGAGGTAATGCCTACATGTCAGCAAATCAGTCTGGAAACAAATTTCCCTCTTGCTAGTTCTCCCCAGTTCTTGATTTTTGTCCCTGCCTAATCTATTATGTCTATTACATATTGAATCATTAAACTTTCAGGGTACATGAAAAAATTAACTTAGGTTAGTCATTCCTTGTCAGCAAAGAAATTGAGTTTATTTAAAAAAAAAAAAAAAAAAAAAAAAAAACACTTATCCCCGAGGCTCAACTAACCTTGTCCTTGCCCAGAATCTCTACCTCAGCATTCCCCTCTCTCTGTTCTGTTATTCTTCCGGGGAACCGGGAGCGCAGTTAAGAATAACTGTTACTACTACAGAGAATATCTTGGAAGCGACAGGGCTAGCAAAAAGTAGTGGGTTTGCCCCACAATACTGTATCTCTGTATTCGCAGTACTTAGCAGAGAGAAAGGTTGTCACAGGTGCAAGTGACCAGGACACAATTATGGAATAAAGTCCAAAGCCAGTAAATGGATTTTTCTGCAGTTTCCCTGTGATTTAGAGATCACAGTAGCTTACAATGCTAAATTTGTTAAGCATTATTTCAAGTGTTTTTACTTTTTAAGGACACTAATTCATTTAGTTTTTGTAGCACTCTTCTAAGATGAAAATTATTGTCATGCTGTTTCGCAGATCAGGAAACTGAGGCACAGGGAGGTTAAACAATTTGCCCAAGATCCCAGAGCTACTAAATGGTAGGGCCTGGATATGAACCAAGACTGTGGCTCCAGAGGCTGTTTTATCTATTTCTGCATTACCTTGCAATTTTATTCACTAGACATGTATACAGTGTAATCACCTATTATATGGCAGGACTGCTGGGCTCCCAGCAAGGATATAAAGGTAAATAAAATTCTTGCTGATTAGTAGGACATCACACACACACACACCCCCCATTCTGTGCCCATTAGAAGATTGGGCATTTGTTTAAAGGATGTTTTCCTGTATTGTGTCTGTGGGCAGGGGCCTCTAACAGCCTCCCCCTCTTCCTTCTCACTCTGGTTCATCCCTCCAGATGATTCTACCCACCCAAGCAACCCAGACTATGAGGAGTCTGGTGAAAGCAGCAGTAGTGGTGGCTCTGACCTGGAACCTTCTGGGCATCAGCTCTTCTGCTTAGAGTATGAGGCAGACAGCGGAGAGGTCACTTCAGTTGTGGTGTATCAGGTATGCGTCATATGGAAACAGCTGCAGCCTGAAGGTCCTGGGCTTTGGTTAAGACATTACTGCCACACCCTGGACCACTGTTTTCCTCAGGGCCAGTGGGAAGTATGTGTTCTGGGAGCATAAGACTACCAGGCATTGCTTTACAAGCACAGATCACTCCTGTCACACAGTGATTCTCAGAAGGGAACAGGGAAAGCTCATGGCCCTCAGTTGAGAATCACTTTTACAGAGGATACTGGGAAATGACAGGAGCTGCCAAGAAGTTGCAAGCCAAATGGAATTCTGTGAAAGTGTTGTCTAGGGACAGGGTAGGCCGCCTTTCCAGAAGAGCCCAGACCCTGAGCTTCTTGACTTTTCCTCCACATAGGACGACGACCCAGGAAGGGTGAGTGAGGAAGTGTCAGCACGAACGCCTCTGGATCCGCTCATGCGAGAGGCCCTCAAGTTGCGCATCCGAGAAGAGATTGCTAAGCGACAGAGCCGACACTGACTGGGTTGAACGTGTTCTCTCCAGGCTGGATTTACTGCATTCAAAAGAATTCTGCCCAGGGAGCTCATCCCTAGTTTGAGGATGCTAAGACTTATCTTGAGACTCCTCCCCAGAGCTGCTTCTTCCAGAGGAGAGGGGTTTTACCAGACTGGCTGCCTTGCTTGCAGCCATTCTTCTCCCATATGTGGACCAATTTGATCAGCCTGATAATTCTGGAATTCTTGGTGTTTGAAAGCAGGACTCCAGGAAGAGCTGAAATTTATGAAGCTTTATGCCATCATGCCGCTCTCTCCCTGAGGTCATGTGCCTTGGGACACTTGCCACTGCTGTTCCCCCCTGCTCCATGCCTGTATTTATGGTTCCTTTCTTTAACATTTCTGCTCATTTCCATCCAGTGCCATGTTTTCCTATGTCTTCTTTTCAGCTTGATTTCTTTGTTCCTTCTTTTCGCCCATCATTTACCCTCAGGTAGATTCATCAATTGCCTTTCCACTCAACACTCTTACGTGATTTGCTTGCGTGGATTCTGGTACTGTCGGAACCTTACTGAAGTAGACAGTGGCCTGTGTACCTACAGATACTCAAGACTTTGTAGGTGGGAGTTTCTGGGGGTTTACCTTTATGAAAATCTCTCCAGATAATTCTGTTACCAATAAAGTGGGAGACTCTTCATTTTAGGTGCCTCTTTGCAAGCATGTCTCCCTCCCCTTCCATGGCTTTTGCCAGTTCCTCGCATGTCCCACTGTATTGCACTGTCTAATAGGAGACCTGGGAAGAAGATAACTGGAGCCAAACTGCAATAATATCTCGTAAAGCTATGGAATTCCAGCTTCTGACCTCATCCCTAGTTCACTTCCCTCTGCTCAAACTAAAGAAATTATCAAAAGAAGCTTGAAACCGACTCCAAAATGTGACTCAAGAGCCTTGAAAATATACAAAGGGGATTTCAGCATTAGCAAAGAGTCTTGAATGATGCCACAAATGGAGTGAAGTGAGCCTTTCTTGTCTGCTCCTCAACTGTCCCATGCTTCCTCATTTCCTAACTTCCGAGAGTATATAAACAGATTCTTGGAATAAAGATTCTCAGGAATATCACTGCTTTCATCTAGTGGACATGTTTCCTAATGCTGGATTAAGCCAACATCTGAGAAGTCCACAACGTATGCACACCAAGGTTTGCAGCCACTTCTGCTCTTCCAGCAAGTCAGCTTCACCTTAGTGACTTGAAGTGTGAGGTTTAAGACTTAATGAAACCAAAGCCCCGCCCCCTGCCCATGCCCCAGGGCTTTCTCTATATCAAGCTCTCAAGATCAGTGCCTGTTGAGAAAATCACCAGATTTTCTCTTAAAGGACGGACACTTGAGGGCACTGTTGGTTTGTACCCTACACCTCCAAAAATCTGTCACAGCAGCTACTTGAACTATACCATTAAAATGTTGCAAGCCACAACTTGCAGTGCCAGAGGAGTGCTGGGAAGGTGAGTAAGGTGGATAAGTTATAAGGGCCTGGTTGTGAAGGTGGCCAGGGATCAGAGTGCACTTAACTTGAAGAGCCAACCCAGTGTTAACATGCCTTAATTTTGCCAGCCCTGTTCTCCACTCTGCTTTCAGTGAAGAACGTCTTTGCCCTCATCAGCTAGACTGGAAGTGCCTTTTGCCTTATAGTATTAACCACAAAGCTTCATAGGTCAAGGAGGCTTGCCAGACTCTACGCCCATTCTTCTAGCAGGTCAGAGGACCAGTAATTTTAATCTTCGAGCACTTCATCTGATCTTGTGACTTGCAACACAGGATTTCATTGAAACTCTTGGGCTTTCTACTCTGGAAATAACTTCTTGGGTCTATCTTCTCATAGCTAGATCACCTGTTTCCTTGTTTCATTACAGAACTGGGAAACAAAACCAGAAAAGTTTAGGGGTATGGCTGCTGAAACCTCAACCTCTGTTTTGTTTTGTGAGAAGGGAAAATGTAAAAGGGAGGGAGCATTTATTATGTACCCATTTTGTCCTTTTATGTGTTAATGTAATCCTAACAAAGACTCAGATTAGAGACTTAGGGAAACTCCTTGCTTTTAAACTTTTTTTCTTGAGGCACATTGCTTGTGAGTTACCCAAGAAAGCATTGGCATTTTTAGCTCTGGTAGCATAGTGCCTAAGGCAGTTGACTGCTCACCAGAAGGCTGGAGGTTCAAACCCACCAGCCACTCCTCTGAAGGAAGGTTGGGCAATCCTACTTCCGTAGTGATACTGCCTTGGAAACCCAAGGAGGGGTCACTATGAGTCGGGGCCAACTGGACGGCAAAAACAACAACAACAAAACAAATACACAGTGTAACTGGTGGCATAATGCCTAAGGCATTTGACTGGTACATAAGGCTGGCTGTTCAAACCCACCAGCCACTCCTCAGAAGGAAGACTGGGCAACCTACTTCTATAGAGACACGCCTCGGAATCCCAAGGAGGAGTTGCTATGAGTTGGAATAAACTCAACAGCAGTGAGTTTGTTTTTGTTGTTTTTTTTTTTCATATAGTGTGACTATGTAAAGGATTAAACCTGGTACTTAAATGAGAGGAATTAAACCTGGTACTTAAATGAGAGGTTGTCCTTCAGAATTGGCCCACTGGAGGTTTATACACAGATTTCTGTGATGCTGCCATTGCTTTAGGCATGTTTGAAACACTTCTCTGGGATGCCTTTGGCAGCTGATGGCCTTAGAGTTCAGCCACATTGCTTATTACCATCCCTCATCTCATTAGCCATGGTGACACAATGGTTAAGCACTTGGCCACTAACCAAGAGGTTGATGGTTCAGACCTAACCCAGTGACTCTGCAGGAGAAAGACTTGGTGATCCATTCCTGTAAAGATTACAGACTAGAAAACCCAGTGGGGCAATTCTGCTCTGTCACATGGGGTCACTATGAGTTGAAATAAACTCACACCCAACAACACTATCTGGGGTCCAACATAGTACTATTCCAGATTATTTGCCAGATTGAGCTACAGCCTTGTCTCAGCTCTTTTCAAAAATCCATGCTTTGCCATCAAGGAACATGCTCCAAGGTGCCTCCCACAAGTCTGTAGATAGCCCATGCTGTGTGGTACAGTGGCAACAGTGTTAGACTAAGTGGAGCTTTCTAGGGGGCTGCTTCAAAATTACTACTCATTTGACTAGATACATTCTCAGCTGTCTTAAGAAAAGTCTGTGAGCCTGCCATATCTCATGTCTATCCAAAGTAAAATGTTCTTAGTGAACATAAGCTGTCAATATTAAGCCTTTGCAGTAGATGATGTTACAAATGGAAGCTGGGGTTTGCAGAAGCTTTAGGCTGAGCAAGGGTAGGTAGACACCAAAGCCTGAGATCCAGCCACTTGGCAAGCATGGTCATCTTTAAAGAATGTAATGCTTCTTGTACTGAGCAAGAGTAGGCGCTCAGGAGCCCAGCCAGCCAGTAGGACCATTGTGGGCAGTAATAAATGTTTTTTCCTGTGGAAGAGCTACTCTGAAAGGGACATTTTCTCTCCATAGTTTACTCTGAGATCTCTGGCAACTAGAGATTGGCCCCTGCAACTGGAGGAAACCCTTTGATGTAGTGAGTGTCCAACCTGCTGTGCATACGGCAGGGTCCCCAGTTTGTACCTGAATTTTAATGAGGCCTTTGCAGGTAGAAAGTAGTAAAGACATTACTTTGCTACCTCTGAGCCATCTCCTGGCAGAAACACCACAGAATGTTATCAAATATATGACACATTTTAAGCTCACTTAGTGAACTGCTGTCCTGTCCAGGAGGAATCAGATGGCCAAGAAGCCACGGCCTTTCTCCAAGATTTCCCCCAGATTTCCCCAAGAGTTGCAGTGAATAATGACTCTGCCTTCTCAGAACCAATAGTGAGAGACTGGCTGTAATGGTTATATTGTGGTAAGTGTATAAAAAGCCATATGTTCTGATTTCTCCTTTTTAGTGTTTCTATATGGATGAATAAGATGAAGTGTGCAAATTTTTTGAAAATCCTGGTAGAAAGGTACTTTGCAGATACTATATATATATTTTTTTTTTTTTTTTTAACTAATAAACCAACTATTTTATAGCACTGTTTTCCTAGAGTTGTGAAATCACTTGTGTACATAAGGGAAATGTAGATTAAATGCCTGCCCTAAAGTCACTCACACCACCACGGAATTCAAGACTGGAAATCTCATCTCTTGCTTTGCCTGTTTCAAGAGCTGTCCTGGTTGAAGCTGAACAAGACTCACATAGCATTAGAGTTGGAAAGGACTTAAAGACATCTGGCCCTACATATTACCTGATAGGCACTCCCGTGCCCAACTACCCATCAAGAGTTCTGTGATAAGGAGCTCTATCTTGGGGTAATTCTACTTTAGGAACCACTCAGATTGTTACACTAAGCCAAATTTTTCCTTCTTGTCACAGATCTGGAGTGTATCTGTCTTACCCTACTTCTACATTAGAGCAACCATTTTAGAACTCTGGGAGTCCTCTCAGGCCTTCATCTTAATAGTTGGACAGGGACTCAACCTCAGCTTAATAGGAGAGATTGGTAAGTGCTAAGTCACAGACGTTCCAGTGAAATAGACAATGCTGAGGATTCATGGCATCATTGGACAGATGAGAAAAAGATGTCTGCTCCAATGGGGATGCAACTGGGTGAGAAGATGGTGCCTTTCAGTGTGTTAGAAAGGCACCTCATTATACCAGAGAACTAAGCATGGCCAGCAGAAGGTGGACTGGATTTTATCCCCTATTTAACCCCTACTGATCCATCCACCAGCCACTCCTTGGAATGAAGATTGGGCAGCCTACTTCGTAGAGATACTACCTCAGAAACCCAAGGAGGGGTTGCTAAGAGTCAGATTCGACTCGATGGCAGCACATTCATCCATTCAAGGAGCTCTGGTGATGCAGTGCCTTAAGGCATTTGACCGCCAACCAGAGAGTTGGCGGTTCAAACCCACCAGCCACTCCACAGAAGGAAGACTGGG